AGAATCATACCCATTCACATAGTATTTATTGATACATTCATTACGAAAACCATACATGGAATAGCATGAACATGGGGCTATGTCCAGAGATTGCAGTTCAAAAAGGAGGAAAACAATATTTGACAACACACACACACACATACATGCATCCATGATACCTACTTACCTACCCACCTACCTCCCTACCTACCTCTCTACCTACCTCCCTCCCTCCCTCCCTACCTACCTACCTACCTACCTACCTACGTGCGTACGTATGTACGTATGTACATACATACGTACATATACATATATATATATATATGCAATATACATATACATACATATATATATAATTATACATATATAAATATATATGATATATGTCACCTCTCAAAATGATGGCTGAAGTTGGAAAGGAACAAAAATATAAAGAGGTGGCCCTGGAGTTCAACGAAACACGAAGCCCAGTTTGAAGCCAGGACGACATCTGGGAAACCCGTGAAGTGCCGGCGTCCTCTGTGCGGCGCTTGCCGGAGGCTGGGAGCTGGCACCATGACATCTCTGGAGACACAGAAAACATGTTTTTTTTTTTTTTAACGATAATTTATATGTATATATATATATTGATATAAAACATGAATAAAACGTTGGAGTTTGACAAAGATGACAGTTCAATGCTAGGGTTTAAAATTAAAGATTGGTAAAAATGCCAAGAGGAGATAGCATCAACGATGGGAATGTGGCTGGTTGGTCGTTTCAAATAGTTGTCATGTTATATGTAATGTTTGATCCCTGGCTGGGATGATCGACACTAGTTCATCAACATATCAACGTTGATTGAAATTAATTTTGTTTCAGTTTGAAAATACCCACGACTCGTCACGAGCCAGGATTACAAGCACAACAAGTCACTGAAATTAGGGACCTACACTGGCACCCTTTCTGAAAAATGGATGTGGCTCGAGCTTGGCTCTACACCTTTGGACCTGCTAAGAATGGATGATGGATCGTTCAACAGTTGCCCCGTGAGAAGCAACATGACAGGAACAAACGTTATGAACTGTCAATTAATCTCTATGGGTTTGTCTGAAAATACTCAAGTAGATCCATCGATTTATCATAATATTCCAAAATCCCTATTTAAATCGATGGATCTTGGATGGGTATAGCCATTTAATAGGTTTTTTTTGAAATATTCTAGGATTAAAATTTCCCCATCCAACTCCAAACTGCTAGTTTTCCGGGACCCCATATTTAAGACACAGCTATATATTCCCCAGGATCCCCCAAGGTCCCTTGGATGGTTCGATGATTCCTTTCTTAGGAGGGCGCCAATGATGACTTCGATCCACAAGTCGATGAGGCGTGGAACATGGCAGTGGTGTTCTTGGCGCAGTGGTGATTTTTGATGGGTACCCTCTGGTCATTTAGCGTAGCTATTGAAAATGGCCATAGAAATAGTGGATTTTCCCATTAAAAATGGTGATTGTCCATAGCTATGTTAGTTTACCAGAGGGTATATTGTGAAGTTATATAGACTTTGCATCAGTTTGCTATGACAGCCATGGCCTAGTTTGATCGGTTTGATGATTGACCCAACATTTTTAATGGTGATGTTCCATAGCTATGTAAAATTGCAAGGGGGTATTACTTTATAACCATGGTGAACTAGTCCCCTTTAAGTTGGGACACAACCCCTATAGAATTATGGCCATATACCTGCTGATTTAATCATTCTGCCGTGCTTTCCCTTTGTTTATGTCAGCTTACCAAATCGTTAGTTTCTTACTTGATATCATCCATCTACATCAACATTGTTTTTGGTGCTATGCATTGGACAAATAAGTACATTGTGGTGGGTGAGTGGTGGCTGGATATTGACAGTATTGATGATTTGACAGTAGGAATCACCTTGATGTTCACCTTGATGTTTTGATTTGGGTCAAAGTCCAAACTCAAACCCGGAGCTTGTGGCAAAGTCCAAGAATCGAGGGTATTAGTATCGCAGAGGTCCGATGTGTGCCAGCCGGTTTCAGCACGTTTTGTACATGTCCCTAAACATCATATCGGATATGGCGCTTTGAATATCTGGTAAACCATTTGATGGTTGGTGATCTAGTTTTCAACCGTCATAACTTGATAACCGTGACCAGACGTACATTTGGCCGTTTTTGGTATCACCGTCCCACACCTTCATCCATGATTTGTGGTGTGCCCCAGTGGAGGAAACTCTATATATACCCAGACATTTCCCCATGACCCTAAAGTATCCTTAAGCATCTTAAGTGTTTTACCCATGCTTTACCCATGCTTTACTCCATGCTTTCTTCGTAGATTTCCGAGTCAGTCCTAGGCTGTCGAGGTGTTGCTTCCGGCCACCGAATCAACGCCCAGCGGCTGGGGCTTAGGCCCTTTTGCCGGGGGCAGTGACAAACTTGGATTCAGCAGGTATACCTGGGGTATGTTTTATATACGTTCAACTTCTGGGGGGTTAGTTCACCATGGACAGCAATTAATCATCCCAACTGCAGCCAAAATCAGGGGAAGTTGATGAAACCGGGCCACTTTTGAGACACCTCTCTGGTGATCCCTTTCTCAAGCCATCCATCAATCTGGATCTCTGACCATCAACGACACTGAAGCTGATGAAGCTGGGAAGTTCTACAGCGCGCCCTGTCAGGCACCGTTAAGACCATCAAGAACTCCTTCTTTTTCATCACCTTCGATGCCACACAGAAGGGCAAGCAGGAGATGAAATGAGATGAATATCGCGCCGGGTGGTGGCAGGAAGCTGCGATAGCAGTTGGTTGGGTAAATTTATTGAAGTCTAGGTAGAACCTTGAAAGTATAGTTGGTTGATGTTAGTTGTGGTTCATTGGAATTTCTGAAAATTCAATTTGAACTTTGGAGACGCCATTAGTATAGCTGCAGTAGATTCATGGAATCACCGCATATGCTGATCGAATGTGGATTGGTGTTTGACAGTTGAAAGCCTCCTCCGAAATGCTTACATTCAAGGGTTTGCATCGCATCCCCCCAAAGGATGACATGGACTGTTTGAGTTGGCAATTTGCTAGCTGACTGGGTGCTTCAATACAGTAATATGTGCTTTCAAAATTCATGATGTCAATGATGAGGAGTAACACCACCATTTGGTTGGGCTTGCAACTGATGAAAACCAAATTATGCATAGCTAATATATGATAATATAATATACTATATTATATATACAATGTGAGGCCCCCAAGATAGCTAAGTTGGTTTATAACTCCAATAACTATGGTTTATGGTACTTATAGCTATAGTTACTGGGGATTATAAACCAACTTATAACTGGGGGGGGCACCACATTGTATGATATGTGTGTAAAGATAGTGTGTATATATATATATATACATCATATGTCAATGATATATGTCCATCTTTGCTGGCCAAATCTCTAGCCACAAGACGACCTCTTCAGGACCTCATCGTGGAGCGGAGCAACCTGCGTCGTTGCAGCCAAGAGGGCAAGCTAGACGTGTCGCAGATGGAGCGAACGTAGGTATCTCAGGTTGTCAATGGATAGGCATGTCAATGGATAGGCAGGTCAATGGTGAGTGAAGCAGCAAAAATATGAGGATCTAGCTAAGTTGGTTGAATGCACTAATTGACTATGTTAGCTATGTTTTGTGATGATTACTGTATATCTATATAGTATACGTACACATATAATATTATGTATATTATATGCTGCATATGTATATACAATTATACACAGAGTTCGATGTGTAATAAGCCAACTTCCCACTGGGGGTGAACCATGTAGCTATGGCATGGCCTTGGAATGCGCAACTTCAAGCAGTGACAAGTCATGGCAAGTCCAAGAATAAGGTCTTGGAAATTTGTGGTTGTGGCTTTGGAATTCCTAGAATTGACCAATTTCTTGGGGTTTGTTGGGGATCAATTTGACCCTTGGATCAAGATTTCAATCGAGGCTTTTGCCCGTGGAGCCGGATCTACACTCCTGGATTAGATCGCAGGAGTCCGAGATCTGGTCGATTTGGGGCTGAAAAATATGCAGAAAACAAAAATCCAACAGTTATGTCATGTCATGAGGCTCTTCATTAAAATTGCTTCTAAGATTGCCAGACATTGGGGCTATCCTATATTTCTGAACTACCTATGAACATATCACAGATGATCAGCTTGCGCATCATCAGGTCCTGCAGCACCCCGTATCTTAGCAGTGAGCAGTCAACATCTCTGGGAGACGTTGACATTGAGTTTGTTTCAACATGTCCAACATTCTCATATTTAGCACTAATGATGCTTTGGAAACCATAAAATCATCATAATCATCATAAACATCATCAATGATTATGGTGCCAATTCATTTATCCAAATGGCATATAAGTCAAACAATCTTGGGACTCGCTTCCATCAGTTCCACGGACAGGACTCCTCTGGATGTTTAAGTCATGTCCAGCACAAGTGCAACTTGTTAGTGGCCAATTGTCATAGCCTCAGATGCGGACTCAATGGACAAAAAACGGAGGTATACCCACAAATAGCATCAAATAGCCATCTTAGTTGAGATTGTGACAAACTATGGATTTTAGGGGTAGCCCATTTTCAGACGATTCCATCTTCAAATTTTGAAGTTGGCCTCTGGGGTGAAAGCCTTTTTGCGAAAATTTATTTGCAAAGATGACACAAAACCCAAAAAAAATCAACCCTGTGTTGGTGAGAGATGATGGTTTTTTCAAGTTTGATGCACATGTGTGCCGACCATGTTTGGTGCCATACCATCCCTCTTTTTGGTGATCTTGAGCCAAACCCGCTCGCAGAAATTTGACTTTAGTCCAACAGTGCTTCAAGTTTCAAGGAAAAGCATCTGCCGTGTTTTCCCCAAGTTTGAGAAAAAGACATTCATTTTTCCGTGTTTTTTTCAGCAAAGCCACTTTGGTACCACCCAGGCACCAACGTCGAGCCCGGAAGCCAGAAGAGCCCGGAGGCAGTCATGAAGTCAACCTGTCATGAAGTCGGAAGGTGGCAAACCCAAAGCCATGAACCATCATGAACCATCATGAACCATACCACGATTCACCATTTGGATCTGGATTTTTTAGAATTTTTGAATATCTTCAAAATGTGAGTTTCTTGTTGAGCACTATCCACATTTGGATAGTCACGGATAGTCCCATGCTTCGAAAAATGGTCATAGATGATTAAATGGTTATACTGTAGATGGTATCATGGTTATGTACGTATGATGTTGTGTATGATTGCATTATCCTGTCTAATTTCCGGAAGAGCCAAGTAGGAAAACAAAAAAATGGAAATGGAAATCTCAAATTGTGAGGTTCCGGTGTGTGTGTGTGTGTCTGTCGAATGTACTGAACAGTTTTTTCTCTTACATTCAATCGTATTCGGCCTGCATGTTCATCTGTTTTTTCTTTGTGTTGCCCATATCTGAGAATCTCTGGTTGATGCTTTCAAAGATGTGCTCCCATTTGTTTAAGATAGAAAAGTAAAGTTCAACTAAAATAGTGATGAATCCTAATAAATCATGATATACATATTTTTCTTTTTTTTATAGGGCCATTTTTTCAGGAGGGATGTCTCAAGCCTTCCAGGTGTTACTGATTGGTGGTGCACGAGAGGTGCGACTTGCGACCATGTTGCTAGAGTTCGGCACCTCAGCGGTGGAAATCCCAAGCTGAAGTCTGAACTGGAGATTGATGGTTTTCTAAAGGGAACATTTCCCATCTTCAGAACGAATCTTCACCCATATTATCAATAATATGAAAATTGACTTTGGGTTTATACCACATATGTGAAGCTTGTGTGAAGCATCAAGTTCATAATTTCAATGGTTTTTTACTCAGATTTGGGACTCAATTACACAGAATGGTCCAGACGGAGTCCAGCAGTGCCCCTCCAACTCAGGGACTATCATGCCATTTTTGTTGGGGGGGGCTTGCATTCTCATAAAATATGTTTTTCAGCCAACATAGTACCAATATGTTGGGATGGATTAAATATGATTACCGTCCAGCAAAGTAACATAGACCCTGAAAATCAATTTTTATGGAAACTCATCTTCCAACCCATTTACTCCGGCAGGGTCTATGTTAATTTACTGGAGGGTAAATAAGCCAGGGACCATCTTCGCCTGTTGGCTCAATCCTGGAAGACCCAGGCTGATTCACTTCAAGCATCAGATCGAGATGCAGAGGCCGGTGCGTCTATCATTCCTAAAGTGAAAGGAAAACAAATTGACAGAATATGGGTATGGATCAATACCTATCCTATTAATACCATTTTTAGTGGGATCAACATCCATTTACCAGCTATTTTCATGTTCACCAGGGGTACAAGGTTTTGACACACTGCCATATGGATAGAAATGATGTTGCTTGGAAAGTTAAATCACTTCTAGTTCAAGGTTCAAGTATGGAAATTGCGTATACCCTCATACCCTCACGCAATCCAACGTGGCTTGCCGGACAACTCCCCATTTAGTTGTCGTTTCATAACCCCATCAATCATCATCCCAATATATCCCAATAAGATATATATATATATTTATATATATATATTTATATATATATATATATATATATCCCATAATCCATCATAATCCTCACTATGGATATCCCATCTATATCTTATAAAGCCACAGAATGCCATATAGAGTGCCAATGGACCTATACTGACCTTGGGAGCTATGGTTCCTGGGTCCCCTGGGTCCCTGGGTCTCGTCGGCTCACCAGGTTCCATGAACATCGGGACCAGCTCACTGAACGCTTGGACAGGCACAACTGAAAAAATGGGGAAAAGCCACTGGGACATGAATTTGGTGTTTGGGGATCTGATTAGCCACTGGATTTTGGAACATTATGGAACATTATTATGATTAGCCCCACACTTTGGAACATTATGATTAGCCACTGGATTTTGGGGCATCCTGTTTAATGAGACTTAAAGCATAGTTTGTTTGTTTTTTTTTTAAGAGCATCATTGCCATTCTCAAAGCGAATGTGTGTTTCTTGTAAGCTCGGCTCACAGGTTTCAGCGGCACATGTTGCCTTTTGGAACTTGTGTTGCATTGCGGCGAAAACAATTATATGTAGCACTAAGCCTTTGAGTTTGACAAGTTTTAGCTACCAAGTAAAAGCACACATATGGAAAAATCAATGATGAGTTTGGTTCCCATCATCATTTTACAATGTCTAAAAAGGGCCATCAGACCTTCCTGTGTCACTCTGTGCCTCAGGGCCAAGCAGTGGCATTCGGCACAGAACCAAGAGGCCTGATTCGCATTGATTCGCCAGATCCGCTTGATGATCCATTGAACCAGTTGAGAAACTGTGTTTTGTCAGCACAAAAGTATACAAAAGTGACATTTACTTGTGGCGCAGCCTTCTTTGGAAATCCAATTAATTTGTATATGCTGTGTTGGGCTGAGTTTTGTTTGAAGGTGACAAACATAAATCATCGTTGTATATAATTATAGTTATTGTGCACAGAAATGCATGTTCCATGATGTTCCTCACGAAAATGCCCCAGGTTTTTCACGTGGATCAGTCCCTGGTCGGCCGAATCATTGGAAAGAAGGCGTGAACAAATCACCTGAGAGTTGGAACCTGAATGATTCGTTAGATGATTTTAACCCAACTAGAAATAGCATGATTTTATCACAACGCCCGAAAAAAAAGGATGCGGAAAAGTTTCCAACATGCTAAAATGTGATGTTTCCACCACATTTTCCAGGTGTTCAATTCCTCTATCTTTTATGGGTGACATGGGGATGTGATATTTTAGTTGTCTTAACCTGAAACCCTCTGAGCTCCGGCGTTTTCACATCAGCTCAGGGCGAAAATGTCAAGGAGATCCGCGAAAAACACAGCGTGCAAATTTGGATCGAAGATCCTCCCAAGAACAGCACCAACTGCAGGCGCAGGGTTACCAGGGTTGGGGTTGGCAGTGGCATGGGTAGGATTGGGTAGGATTTCAATCAAGCATTGTGAACCGGCAGGGAAGGCTAGAAATTAGGATAGGAGTGGACCCGCAACATTGGTCATAGATTCATAGTACATCAGTATATTGACTAAACGGACCATTCTTGGGCCCAAATCTCTGTATGAACTGTACTTCCTGAATCTTCCTGATTTGTATAGCTGGAGTCCAAGTACGAAGTTTGGCAATACACACAGCATAGCGATCTTGAACATATCTTTGCATCTGTGTCTGCCTGCAGGGGCACCCAGGGGGTGATCACGGGTGTGTCCGAAGGGGAGTTGGATATCCCTGGACAGTACTCACATGGCGAGGGTGTTTTGGAATTGCCAGGAATGTTATCACGAAACAACAACCATGGTTGATTCATGAAACATGGATAGATATGGACCTAAACATTGTGATTCATCACTGTAAGGCACCATTGCTGCTTTCCTTCACCTTTCCAACACTGGTGGTTCATGGTGGTTCCACGTGGTTCCGTTCACGCATCCGAACGCATCCGAACGCAGGGTCACGGTCTCTGGACCAACTGAGAAGGCAGTGAAGGCTGCGCGGGATGAGCTGGAATTCATCACTGTCGGAGCCATGGGAACCAAAGATGGCATCGCGGGGCTCTTTTTGGAGGTAGGATTTCCTGTGGCGACATGAAGATGTAAAATATGGATAAATATAGTGCATCAAATAAGAGGGCGAAAACATTGATTTCATATGATTTACTCATCAACTGACTGATGAAGTAGGTGTTTTCTTGGATTTGGGCTTCAATTCAAGTCGACTTCCGTATTCACAACACACGGGTGGGTCTAAGATGGAGCGTGAGGTAGAGTGACGTGAATGTGAGCAAAGGATCCTAAACCATTTCGCCACAGAACTGCTGTTGCTGGATAGACTATTAGTATATATCTATTATAGTCAACAATAAAACTTCAATAAACCATAATATAATAATAAAACAATAATAATTGAAGACTTAGTTGACTTAGTTAGATACTTTGATCATCTTTGATATCTTGAAATTCGTCGTGACGACTGGGAGTCCTACCATCCCGGGATGGTGACCTGACTTAGGTCACCATTCCGGTGGAGAGTGAGCACGTTGGCTGGATCCTGGGGAAGGGCTACCAGACCATCACGGCGCGATCCTGGGGAAGATGGGGGGAGACAGGGGAGACCTCATGGGAGATCAGACGGGATGTTTGCTGTTCCCTATTTTATAGGCCCAAAAGTGTATCAATCGCTGTGAGGTTCAATTACTGGAGAATGATCTATAATGATCTTGTGATTTGCGGAGTGGCAAGTCTTGTTCGGTGGTAAAACGGGGAATGTTTCTTTGATTCACGTTGCGCGCAGTATATTATATAATTACTCCGTATGGTTTTCAAGGCATAAGATGGGTTCGCCATTCTGATCGTTGGATGCTACACTGTGGCTACTGAGACGATCTGGGGAAGCTGCCATGGCAGGACATTGCGCGGAAGACCGAGCTTCATCATGCGAGGCGGAAAGGGGAAAATGATTGGAAAGGAACCTGACTCGACTTGTTTAATGTTGGTAAAACAACGGTACACCATCCCCAAATTCTACCATAAATGGGTGGTATAAGCCATCAAAATATGGGTGCTTGATAATTGCTTTACTAACATTAGAATGGTTCAGAAATTAGCATAAACTGCACCAGAGATCATTGAACTCTTTGGTCTCACGACACCTGATCCCAAAAAAAATTGAATACCAGAATCCTGAAACACCTTAAATGGGATGTGTCCAGTTTCCTCCAAATCCATCCAAGTTGTTAATTTAGCCTAGTTGATCAACAAAACCTTCAGGTTTCTGACAAATCCACCAGTGGGTCATTTCTATGGTTTTCCTATGGTTTTCCACCATTAAACCATGATAAACCCCCCAGTGCCGGAGGTATGACGACAAGGCCAGGGCTTTGGAACTTTGTGGCTTGAGACACCAGGCGCGATGTCTATGGGATCACAGGATTCTTGATCTGGCAGCGATCTGGATGGCATATAAACTCACTCCAACTTAAAAGGATCTGGGAACATCTATGGCAATATATGGTATGATCTGGCTATGATTATATGATCTGATGAGTTTGATCTATCAAATCTATCACTTTTTTTGAATGTGTCGTCAAGCCTGCCGCAAGGTCGAGGATGCCAAATTGCTGATCAGTGTGCACCAAGAGTACCTCCCAGTCTATCAAGACATGGACGAGGCCGGCGATGCTAGGGATCATCTTCCAATGTTTCCTCCAAAAAAAGATTATCAAAAAACGACCCAAATTGACCCGCTTTGGATTTCTACAGGGACAGCACCAGCCACAATCTAAGCAATCTACATTGAATCTACATTGAATCTACATCAATCTACATCAATCTACATCAATCTACATCAATCTACTGTATCTGTGACAGGAGCAGACCTCCATCCAGAAGTCCTTCGATGAATTAGATGGCCGGGCGCCCCGGTCACCCCGGTCACCTGCGGTGCATGGAGCAACTGCCTGCCTTGCGGTGCCCGTAAGGTGTTGCCAATTCCAAAGGCAAAGGAAAAAAAGGCCGAGCTCAGAAGATCTCAGAACTGTGGTTAAACTATGGTTAACATTATATAATAACATATATTTTATAGTAACACTAATAAAAATATATTAAGATATATTATATACAATTATATAAGTATCATTAAGTATCTAGATATAAGATTTCTATAAGCATCTATTGTAGACATGTATGTTGGATGTCAGCATTTGCTTCAGTGCACCCAGAGGTCCAATTGGTCCAACCCCCACGAAACATTTGTTTGGTCATATATCCCGTTCCATTATATCCCATTATATCATGTTATATCCCATTATCATCCATTATCCCATGATCAGTTATATCAGTTATATCCCATGATCAATAGTTGCATCATGTTGCATCCCCGTTATAGTTAATAAGATATATCCATGAAGCAACTAAGCTTGCTGCTAAATCCATTGCGGCACGCAGGTGGCAAAAGTGACGCCAAGGGCGACTCCAAAGGAGACGGTGAGGGAAAGATCGGAAGGCCCCGTTGTCCGACGCGCGGTTTGTAGGCAGGTGTCGCTCAAATGGATTGGCGCGTATTGAAAATGTGTTGATTTAGAGATTTTGTAGAATATTTGAGAGTATTAAAATATGATTAAAGATGTTTGGTGTTATTTTTTGAGAGCATAGCATTTCAATTCCATTTTGAGGTACCATGAAAAAGGCATTGAACATGGGGTACAATGGATTTTTTGTCCCAAGCACGCCACACCTTACTTGCCAGTGAACTATTTCCTGGCAATGCCTTTGGCTACGGTCATTCCAGTGATGGTTTCCTGAACATGTTTCCAATTTCAAACCACTTTAGGCGGCAACATCATACTCATTCTATCATGTATATTTATGTATATTTGTTTATATACATTTGCTTGTCATGCTATCCAAAAACAATCATTAATAGGTGCAATTGGTGTTTTTTATTGCAAATAGCACCATTTATAATGCAAATAGCGGTAGGTTCTGGTTGGGGGGATGACCACGGAGACCATTCTTCGAGGGCTCGCAGACTGACGCCAGGAAGGATGCCGATTCCAAAGGCGCTTCCAAGTCCAAAGATGGTGCCGTGTCACCGGTGATCAACGGGTTATTTCACCACGAAAAGATGGGATTTCTCATGGGAGTTGAAGCATGTTGAAGCAGCAAAAATACCCTCTGGTAATTTAACATAGCTATGGAAAATCACCATTTTTAATGGGAAATTCCACTATAAATGGTCATTTTCAATAGCTATGTTAAATTACCAGAGGGTAGATGTGATTCACAATCTATAAAATCGGAAATGAGGAAAGATTGTGGATAAAATATATGAACAAATGGGAGATACATTGGGATACGGAATGTTACATAACCACCAACAATTTGATGGGTGTTTAAACATAAATGATCGATGATGTTTCTGGCAGTTCACCAGCAATCAATTTATGGATATCACCAATGGTGGGATTTACTCAACAACAATGGAAGGACAATACTCAACCAATTTATGGGGATGTAACTGTTTATATAGCGGGATAGAAAACCAACAATCTAATATTAGTGGGGTCGTCCACATGGGAGTACTGAGTAATATTGCTGGGTACTGTTAATACAAGTAGCCCAAATCATATCAAATCATGGCCATTGATAGGGAACATGATTTTCAAGCATCAAATTTTGGGGTAGCCTCTGTTCAAACAAATCCACAGGGTTTAGGGTCAGGTACCTATTTGAACACGGGGATGTGTGGATGAAATCCAAGCATTTGAATCTTATTTTTTTCAGCGGATGTTCAAGAAAAAACTATCAGCAATCAGTCAGTAACCTCCCAGAAATTGAGGACCACAATGACTGATGGGTCGTCTGGTTGACGCATTTTTTTTGTTTGCAACTTCGCAGGCCATCTTCCAGTTATTGTTTGGGAGAGGAGTTTTCTGCCATGTTCGAACAGCCGTTCGGTTTTCCGTAACAGCCTTGTATTCTGGAGCCGATCAACTGGCAGCAAGTTACTGTCTATGGTGGAAATCCATGGAAAATAGCCATTCTCCCAGCACGTAACAGGACACTTGACATGTATTGATTGTATTATATTGTATTGGATCAGCCAGGCTGATCCTCCAAAATAATGGATTTTTAAAGGGACCATCTTTGCGAACGCCAAATTGGTCTCGGGGTTCTGATTCTATTTCCGATGGATTATGATGGATTATTCCCATTCACCTCAGTGGAACCATATGTTTTAAATGATGTTATATATGGACTATATAATTCACCTTAGGATTATATGTGTTCCCAACCATATGTTTTTTTCTTTAATGATCCTTTTAGGGAGTTGTTTTCCATTGTATGATAAGCTTCCTATATTTGCGATCTTCCAGATAGAATGTGTGTGACTGTTGTTTTTTTTTCTGTTCGGAGAATTTGGTCCACTCTTGACTCTTCCGCAGGTTGGGATTTAGCTTCACACAACAAGTATTGTTATGACCCGTGCAGCTGACACGTGCAACTAGTGCAGAATCAGAGATGATATGATTAGGGAATTCCGAATCACCAAAAAAGGTGCCATCAAAACCTAATCCCTCAAAGATCTGTCCCAAGAATTGCAGTTGGGGCCCTCTCTGGCTGCAAGGAAAGGAGGGCAAAGGGGCCAAAGGTGAAGACGCATCTGCTGCGGGGCTGCAATTTGTTACACTTTGGGAAAGGAAGTCATGACCCAGCCAGTCACTAGTTTGTCAGTTCGAGGATTTGCCATGATTTTTAGTGAGTTACAGTACACCTATCTTATTTTGATGGTGATTTACCGTAGCTGCCATAGCCACCCATTTCTGGTGAATTTCCATAGCAAAGTGTCGGTCATTACCAGAGACTATTGCTACATATTGCTACCACCGAGTCAACAAAAAGATGACTGCCACAAACCCTTCCACTCCCAAAGATTGTCTAGTGGTGACATGTGGTGACCATATGGCTTATACGTCGGTGATTGCGCCTAATGATTCAGAAATATGGCAGTGACTAAAGAGGACTAAAGAATATTTGGTGATTGAGTTGTTCAAAGCCAAAGCTGTCAGCTGTCATTGTTCAATCAGAAAAGTACTCTTGACATTTCGTGGATTACGATGTGTGTCAAGGTGTCGGTCCGCGCCTCCGAAAGATGGATCTTACACCTCTCAAAGGTTGTTCTGGGAGATTTCCTAAGTGCTCAACAGGACACCTAGAAACACCCAATGATTGACCAAAATTGTTCAATGTTTTGACTCATTTAACACTCAAGATAATACCCAAGAAAATCGGTGCCTAAAACTGGACTGTTGATATGGATTTGGACCACATGACCAGCCCAAGACAAGTTTAAGAAATGCATTTGTTTTCCACTAAAACACATGAACATATTCATCTACGTGTTAATGATAGGAAATAGACATATCATATCAAACATATACAATATATCAATCATATATCATATATCAAGCATATATCATATATCAATCATATATCATATAACGCATATGTATATAACAATATATGTTATGTATCAATATTTATATATATATACTCGTATGTATAAAAACATAGTCATATCTAAGTCTATGTGTATGATATATATATACACATTGGATCACATTGGGTACTGTACCTATACACACAGGTATTTATCCTCCAAGAAAACCGTTTCTCCGTTGAGAAGAGTGGTAAATGCATGGCTTAACCATGAAAAAATGTGGTTTCATATGGTTCTATCGCTTGACCAATGACCAACATGGATTTAAAAACTGGATAATCATGGATAAGAGATATGATATATGGGTTGTTCAACTCATCCCGGATCCATTTATATAAGAAGTTACACCCGCATTGGATGATGCCTTTTATATGTGGTTTCATCCACTGGGGACACTGGCTCCATGCCGAATCAGTAGAAATATGAACAACTCTTTTTGAACACCAAAAAGCTGGAGAGACATGAGGACAACAGCCACATCATCCCACTTCATCCCACTGAAAACTTCTTTTGGATTGGCTGTATGTAAAATATCTGCTAAAAACAGCCAGGTACATGTTTTGAATGTATACTAAGCATTCCCTTGTATAGCACCGGCAGGCTAAAAAATCTTCGCAGCCAGGTTATGTAAGTTGGTTCCTAGAGAGTCCAAAATAAAGTATCCGGCACAGTGTTTCAGGTGTGTTCTCTTGGCTTCTTGCAGCTCAAATCTGGTTGGTTTTCAGAATCCCTGGGAAGCGCCGCTCGCGAGTTGGGAGTTCCCAGGAATGGTATGGCCGCAAAGGAAAAGATGGGAAGGACGGAGCTGGTGAGATCCCCATAAATTTGTCACAAAATGAGTAAAGTAAAATATGGTAAAAAATGCTGGTAAAATATGGGTAAACCATGGTAAACCATGACAAACCCGGAGATTTCGAGGTTCCGAATGTGGAGACAAAGGGAACTGATCCGAGAAATGCCGCATGCACAATTATAGGCAAAGTCGAAGAACACCTGCAAAACGGCATCTTTTCTGCCCTTATGTTCGCTCAAACTCACAAACTGAAGACATGCTCACATGGTCCCCAATATGTCCCATTGAGCGGTCCAAACATCTTGACTGATGGATTGTGCCACGAAAGGGCTGAATTTCTCAATTCAAGGTCTCTCGGACGTGCCATTGGCACCGCGTCTCATGAGATCTTGGCAGGACTCGAAGGGTGGCAAGGACTACGGAAAAGGAGACAGGGATGCAGGAAAAGGTGCTGGAAAGGACGGAGGCGGAAAGGATCGAGGAAAGGATGGCAAAGATGGTGGAAAAGATGGTGGAAAAGATGGTGGAAAAGATAGTGGAAAAGATGGAAAGGATGGATCGAAAGGATCCAAAGGGAAAGAAGGGAAGGAAGGAAAGGACGGGGGGAAGGAGTCAACTTGGAAACTCAAAGACGGTAGTGGAGGAAAGGACTGGGGTGGAAAGGAAGGTAAAGATGGAAAAGGAAAGACGGAAGGGAAAGAAGGGAAAGGAGATGGAAAAGAGCCCAAGGGCAAAGGCAGAGAAAAAGGAGATGAGAAAGGAGAAGGCAGCTTGGACTTGGACCATTGATTTCCCGTGCCAGACTAGTGGACACTTTTTTGATTTTTTACACCCAGATCCGCAAACCATCGCAAACCTTCTGATTTTGTTACAGTAAGTTCCCAATCAGACTCTCCCTTTTTGATCTTGCCAGCAAGATCTAAGGCAAAGGCAAGAGAAAGGATGATGGAAGCTATGAAGATGGGAAAGGAGAAGGAAAAGGCAAAAGCAACTTGGATTTTTCAGCTGGTTTCTGCATGTTTATTTACATGTTCTATTCAGATTAGTGGTTGTCTTGAAGCGACACATTTGTTGACCTGCCAGTGAAACATGCTGAGGCTTCTTACAGATGAGCTCCTGTAGTCCCCAAATCATTCCCAAATTCATCCCCAACATTCCCACGCATAGGGGCTACTGATATCCGATTGATCCCACACATTTCAAAATACCTGAGACTCCAACGGCTTTGGAGCCTCCAATTGCGAGTCAAAACCACTTCTTCCTTCCACAACAACATTTCAATACAGTCCAAAATCTCAGAGTTGTTGATTCTCCACACTTGTTACAGTAGACATTCTAAGTCTAAGTCTTAAAGATTCCAATTTCGGAGCATCCAACGGCCACTTGTTCCACCACGGATGCCACACTGACATGACTTTGCCTTGACCTTCCCAAGGCAAGGGTCGCAAGGGTCGCATTGGACAGGGAGACTGAGAGGCTCGTGTCAACCTATATTCATCAGAGGGTGGGGCCGGCAATTCCAACTGCTTATATTCACTTGTTTGTTCCAGGAAGTATACCCTCTGATAAACTAACATAACTATGGAAAATCACCATTTTTAATGGGTAAATCAACTATTTCAATGGCCATTTTCAATAGCTATTTTGACATAACCAGAGGGTATTTTGATCAGTGTCGAACAGTCAAAGCTTTTTCAACTCCAGAGGGATCATAAACCACATGCTGTCAGATGATTGAACATGTGGGAGAGGCCAAAAGAGGGGATCCATCCGTTTCCACCCAAGTGCGCATGAAAAAAACTGCATGTTGTTGTCCTCTGATGCTTGGGGCAGATGTACCGGTGTATGATCGATTATTTTGAACTTTCATATTGTTCTTGCTTGCATCATCAAGTGGTATCTCTATTCTTCTCTACGTTCCCCAATGATGAGGTCAAATTTCACATCCAATGTCACGACAAATGTCGGCCATATGATGCATTGAATATCTAACTTTCAGGAGTCCCCAACTTTAACAAACCCCAAACGTGGTGGACTGAATTCTCATGCGTTTACCTGTGCAACTCCCCCAACAAGAAGGATGTTGGAAACTCTGATCGGATCATGCTGGTCAATGATCACAAAACGTGGCAGTGATTGATCCCTTTCAGATATGATTGACCCCCCAGCCCCCCAATTTGATTTTCATCATATTTCATCATCAGTGTCAACCCTGGATGGAAAAAACCTGGTTGACTGGTTGATTAAGTAGGATGAACCCCCAAATAGTGATGAGGTGATCTGATTCGCCCAGGTTGTCGTTACTGCGGTGCCGTGGCACCAGCTGAGGGCTTAACGCGCCCTGTGAAATGATGCGGCCGCGCGTGTGTTGCGATGTCACTGGGGCAATCACCAAGAGGGTCGCTCCGACTCATTATAGGTAAATGACAGCCACAAGGGGAACAAACTGTTCATTTTACCTTGATATTTGCGCTATTTACCCCAGTTGTACCTGGGGTGTTTGGAGCAACCCTGACCAACATTATTGAATTGGCTAAATTGCAGGAAAACACCATATTTGATTGGAAAAAAAAAAAACAGTTGATTCCTATAGACTTTCCCCGCAACTAGTCCAATGACAGGGGGGGACAACAACTGCTTCGTTGGTTGTTGTAATCAACATCCATCATCATGCATATGTTCATGGTCACGTCATCAACAGATGATTGTCATAGTCTCCGTCCTAGTATTGATCTACATTAATCCCCATCAGTACACAGTCCAAACAACCCGAAGTTCCGAAGTGCTGGCCATTTTGAATCGTATCGTTGCTCACAATTTGGGTGTTGGAAAAAAAGGGCACGTTCTGTTGGTAGACCCAATTATAAGCCATCCAAAAATACGACCCAATTATATCCAATTATAGGGTTTGTATAAACCATCCCCGACACATCCGTCCTCATCATTATCATCGAGATCTCCTGGCTGCAGCCGCTCACTCAAATCGATCTGGTGTGAGTAGCTCTAACATTGGCGTAAACCCAACAATCACGCTGATAGCAGGAGGCAAAATGTAACACCCACATAGTTGGCCCACGAAAACATCCAAATTTCCTTTGAAAAGATGGTTCTGCTCCGGAGTTACGAATTGTAATTTCAATCCACCAAGCACCAACGTGAACGTGATTACTGAACCAATATCGTACCTGCAACATATAGCTTGTGTGACTTATTCCTAAATATGTTTGGGCGGTCTGAGCTGGTTGTGCCCAGCTCATGTGTAACATTTCACCATCATTTTCCACCTTGATGCAGAGTGTTTACCCATGAACCAGTTGGACCTTGTGATTTTCGCTACTCGAATTGATACTTTCAGTGACTTTTGTCACACAGTTTTTCAGAGAGTTCTCATTGACAATATTGATACTTTCAGTATCTTTCAGTTTGTTTCAATCCCTAGATGACTGAGAGTTTTGTTTTTTCCAGGGGGTTGAAAACAGCGAGCAGTCAACCAGTTCACAGCTTCAAATTCTTTGGGGTGGCCACGTAGGGATCCGCAGCCATGTTAACCCGGCTGAGCACTGGCATGTTCCGGACAGCCAGATGGTCCAGCCAGAGGTCAGAGGAAACATGAGCCTTTGACAACACAGTAGATCCATGTAGATCCATGATTATACTCCATATACCAAAAAGTGACTATAGTGACTATAGTGACTATAGTGACTATAGTGAACTATAGTGAACTATAGTGACTATAGTGACTATAGTGACTATAGTGACTATAGTGAACTATACTGACTATAGTGACTATAGTGAACTATAGTGACTATAGTGAACTATAGTGACTATAGTGAACTATAGTGACTATAGTGACTATAGTGAACTATAGTGACTATAGTGAACTATAGTGACTATAGTGACTATAGTGAACTATAGTGACTATAGTGAACTATAGTGACTATAGTGAACTATAGTGACTATAGTGACTATAGTGAACTATAGTGACTATAGTGAACTATAGTGACTATAGTGAACTATAGTGACTATAGTGACTATAGTGAACTATAGTGACTATAGTGAACTATAGTGACTATAGTGACTATAGTGAACTATAGTGACTATAGTGAACTATAGTGACTATAGTGAACTATAGTGACTATAGTGACTATAGTGAACTATAGTGACTATAGTGAACTATAGTGACTATAGTGAACTATAGTGACTATAGTGAACTATAGTGACTATAGTGAACTATAGTGACTATAGTGAACTATAGTGACTATAGTGAACTATAGTGACTATAGTGACTATAGTGACTATAGTGAACTATAGTGACTATAGTGAACTATAGTGACTATAGTGAACTATAGTGACTATAGTGACTATAGTGAACTATAGTGACTATAGTGAACTATAGTGACTATAGTGAACTATAGTGACTATAGTGACTATAGTGAACTATAGTGACTATAGTGAACTATAGTGACTATAGTGAACTATAGTGACTATAGTGACTATAGTGACTATAGTGACTATAGTGAACTATAGTGACTATAGTGACTATAGTGACTATAGTGACTATAGTGAACTATAGTGAACTATAGTGAACTATAGTGAACTATAGTGAACTATAGTGACTATAGTGACTATAGTGACTATAGTGAACTATAGTGACTATAGTGAACTATAGTGACTATAGTGAACTATAGTGACTATAGTGAACTATAGTGACTATAGTGAACTATAGTGACTATAGTGACTATAGTGACTATAGTGAACTATAGTGACTATAGTGAACTATAGTGACTATAGTGAACTATAGTGACTATAGTGAAATATAGTGACTATAGTGAACTATAGTGAACTATAGTGAACTATAGTGACTATAGTGAACTATAGTGAACTATAGTGACTATAGTGAACTATAGTGACTATAGTGAACTATAGTGACTATAGTGAACTATAGTGACTATAGTGAACTATAGTGACTATAGTGAACTATAGTGACTATAGTGAACTATAGTGAACTATAGTGACTATAGTGAACTATAGTGACTATAGTGAACTATAGTGACTATAGTGAACTATAGTGACTATAGTGACTATAGTGAACTATAGTGACTATAGTGAACTATAGTGACTATAGTGACTATAGTGAACTATAGTGACTATAGTGAACTATAGTGACTATAGTGACTATAGTGAACTATAGTGACTATAGTGAACTATAGTGACTATAGTGAACTATAGTGACTATAGTGAACTATAGTGACTATAGTGAACTATAGTGACTATAGTGACTATAGTGAACTATAGTGACTATAGTGAACTATAGTGACTATAGTGAACTATAGTGACTATAGTGAACTATAGTGACTATAGTGACTATAGTGAACTATAGTGACTATAGTGACTATAGTGAACTATAGTGACTATAGTGACTATAGTGAACTATAGTGACTATAGTGACTATAGTGACTATAGTGAACTATAGTGACTATAGTGAACTATAGTGACTATAGTGAACTATAGTGACTATAGTGATAGTCACTATAGTCACTATAGTTCACTATAGTCACTATAGTCACTATAGTTCACTATAGTCACTATAGTCACTATAGTCCACTATAGTCACTATAGTCACTATAGTTCACTATAGTTCACTATAGTCACTATAGTCACTATAGTTCACTATAGTCACTATAGTCACTATAGTTCACTATAGTCACTATAGTTCACTATAGTTCACTATAGTCACTATAGTCCACTATAGTTCACTATAGTCACTATAGTCACTATAGTTCACTATAGTTCACTATAGTCACTATAGTTCACTATAGTTCACTATAGTCACTATAGTTCACTATAGTCACTATAGTTCACTATAGTCACTATAGTTCACTATAGTTCACTATAGTCACTATAGTTCACTATAGTCACTATAGTTCACTATAGTCACTATAGTTCACTATAGTCACTATAGTTCACTATAGTCACTATAGTTCACTATAGTCACTATAGTTCACTATAGTCACTATAGTCACTATAGTTCACTATAGTCACTATAGTTCACTATAGTCACTATAGTTCACTATAGTCACTATAGTCACTATAGTTCACTATAGTCACTATAGTTCACTATAGTCACTATAGTTCACTATAGTGACTATAGACTATAGTGACTATAGTGTGACTATAGTGACTATAGTGACTATAGTGACTATAGTAACTATAGTGAACTATAGTGAACTATAGTGAACTATAGTGAACTATAGTGACTATAGTGAACTATAGTGACTATAGTGAACTATAGTGACTATAGTGAACTATAGTGACTATATTCTATAGTTCACTATAGTTCACTATAGTTCACTATAGTTCACTATAGTTCACTATAGTCACTATAGTTCACTATAGTCACTATAGTTCACTATAGTGACTATAGTGACTATAGTGAACTATAGTGAACTATAGTGACTATAGTGACTATAGTG